TTTTTTGTCCATGTGCTTTTAGTTTCTTGATCATTATTCAATTGTAATTTTTGCCTGAGTGGGAGACAGCAACAGTCTCCATAAAGATACAACATGCACACCTACTGCAATGATACTGAGCGAAAGCCACCACCTCCTTCTCTACCAACGGGCCAGCAATAGAAAACCACCAGGAGGAGCCTGAATCACCCTTAGCTGCTCTTCACAAACAGTTAACAGAGATCTAAATAAAACACCACGATGCCTTGGAGACAACAGACCGTCACAGTCCACACAAAGAAACAAGATAAAATGATAGAAACGTACAGACTCAGAACACATCCCTGGGGAAGAAGCAGCATTGGAACTCACTGATAAAGAATTCAAAAGAGTTATTATTTAGGTATCTTCAAAGGATGGAGAGAGAGACCAAAGAAAACACAGAAAAAACATTACAAGAATTTTGGATGAAAATACAAGAATAGAATGACAAAATAAATGAAAAATTAGAAGTGATTCTAAATCTACAGATAGAAATCCAGAAAATTAATACTAAACTGTCAGAAATAGATAACACATTGGAAGGGTAAAGGGGTAGAATTGATGCAATGGAAGACAGAATTAAAGAGATTGAAAACAAATACCTGAATACTTCTTTGGAAAGGGATCAATCAGAAAAATAAATCAAAACAAAATGAAGAAAGACTAAGGTTCATGTGGGATACCATCAAAAGGAATAACTTACATGTCATTGGAATTCTACAACAGGAAGAAAAAATAAAACCACGGAGAAAATTGTCCAAGATTTGCAGGAAGAGAACTTCCCTATATGATGAAAGAGGAGAAGATATCCAGTCAGGAAGTCTAACAAACCCCAAACAGGACAGATCCCAAAAGAAAATCACCAGATATATCATTATCAAACTCATCAAAACCAAAGACAAAGACAGAATCCTGAAAGGATCATGGGAAAAACAAAAAGTTACCTACAAAGGACAGCCAGTAAGAATAAGCTCTGATCTCTCAGCAGAGACCATGCAAGCGAGAAGGCAATGGGAAGGTATATATAAAACCCTAAAGGAGAAAAATTTTCAACCAAGAATTATATACCCGGCAAAATTGTCCGTCAAATATGATGCTGAAATTAGGAGATTTCCAGATAAGCAGAAAATAAAGGAATTTATTAAAACCAGACCAACCTTACAAGAGATGCTAAAGGGAATCCTTTGACCAGAGAACCAAAAATAGCAAATAACAACTGACCATTAATACACAAGATGACATAACCCAGAAACCACAGCTATGG